GAAGGGCGGACCGTCGCGCCTGAGCATGAGGGCTGACCTTCCAGCAACCGTTTGATGATGTGGCCTGTGTCTCCACTCGAGCTGGAGAGTAAGGATCTCTCGAAGATCAATGCGTCATCGAGTATGAACCTCGGTACTACTCCATCAGTGATAAGTGTCGAGAAGTGCGAAGCAAGTAGGTGAGTGGCTAACTGGTGGGGTAGGCTTAGAAGGTCCTGGTGTGCTTCCAGACGATGATAGAGATATTCGGGCAAGGAACTATCTCCGGTGCAACCAGGGTGGAGAGAGTCGCGATACAGCTTGAGATGGTGTACTAGTTGTTGAGTCTCTTGGAACATGTTTGAGCGGTCCAGCCCTTGCCGAAGCAAGTCGGAAGATGCTCGTTCCGATTTCGCCAAACAAACGCCGAGATGATCACAACGTCCGTCGCCATCCTAACGCTGATTCGAACCCTCCTGCCACCCGGCTCACTCGGAAGAGGCCTTGCTGGTCGATTACTCGCATGCGATCGTGGTGACCCGGTTACCGCTCTTACCACCGCCACCATTACCCTCATCCTCACTGTCGCCTTGACGTCGACCTACGCTGCCTGGCTTGTGTCCCAGGTTGTCAACCGTGGCGACACTGATTTCGAGGACTCCTTCCTGCAGTTCAACGACGAAGCACCTATACGCCTGCACCAAATGGTGGAAGCTGAAGAGCCATCGTCGTCGTCTGAAAGTGAGGAAGAAGTGACAGACCCGGGCGAACGTTCTCGTAAGAGACGAGCCCCGTTGGCCCTCCCCGTTGCGAAGAGACCTAACCTGACATCCATCCGCGAATTCTTCTCCACTTTGTCGAAGCGCCGTGACCGCTACACCTTGTACACGAGAGAAGCTGGTTTCCGCGCTGTGTTGACCGCGCTGAGTACCTTTAGGTTTATCAGTGCACTCGTCATCACCTTGTCGGAGGATGAGTCCAGCGAATCCGCAACTGCCGGAACCCCCACCAACGAACTGCCAATGCGGAGGGAACTACCACCACGACCGCCGCCACCGAAGCACCTGCTGTGTACACGGCTGTTGTCGGGCTCTCCCCTGAAACCGCTAGTGACGAGTACCATACGACGATCGAACCAGCCGCAACCGCAGTAGCTATGACCATCCATGAGTGTGGTATTCAACCATCGTCGAACCGACACCCACTACCGGCTGCCAGGCTGTCGATGCAGTACCCGAATCTCTGACGGCACAGAGGAGCTCGCCGATTAGTGGTCCGACCCTGTAATGGGCTTGCAACTCGCCGCAGCCGTGGAAGGTGGCGCGGTTCGCCGCCGTGAACCTTGTGGGCGAAGGGCGGACCGTCGCGCCTGAGCATGAGGGCTGACCTTCCAGCAACCGTTTGATGATGTGGCCTGTGTCTCCACTCGAGCTGAAGAGTAAGGATCTCTCGAAGATCAATGCGTCATCGAGTATGAACCTCGGTACTACTCCATCAGTGATAAGTGTCGAGAAGTGCGAAGCAAGTAGGTGAGTGGCTAACTGGTGGGGTAGGCTTAGAAGGTCCTGGTGTGCTTCCAGACGATGATAGAGATATTCGGGCAAGGAACTATCTCCGGTGCAACCAGGGTGGAGAGAGTCGCGATACAGCTTGAGATGGTGTACTAGTTGTTGAGTCTCTTGGAACATGTTTGAGCGGTCCAGCCCTTGCCGAAGCAAGTCGGAAGATGCTCGTTCCGATTTCGCCAAACAAACGCCGAGATGATCACAACGTCCGTCGCCATCCTAACGCTGATTCGAACCCTCCTGCCACCCGG